CAAGCGCTCAAGCTTGTTTAATTGCTCCTCAGTCGCATCCAAATAACAGATATCAGCATAATCAAGAATCGGAAAAATAAGTGTTTGGACAAGAGAAATCTCCGTTGATAAAGGCCAAAAACTTTGAAGACATTTTAAAGAATGTAAAGTATAATTGATTTTCCGGCTAACTTCTGTGATATGTGCAATCCATGTCAATTTGCAATCCATTATGATGCCCAGATTCTTAGCAGTTTCTGAAATGCTTAGTGGAGTGCCATTAATTTGCAGTGCTGGGAGTGAAGTAAAATCAAGTAGGTTACGAGTAAACTTGTTGCCTATAATAACTGCTTGTGATTTTTTGGGATTTATAACAATTCCATATGATCTGGACCACTCATAGATTTTATTAAGATCTTTTTTATTTCAAATATTGCTGAATTTGCTTCAGTCACTAGAAAATGACGATACAGCTGTAAATCGTCTGCGTAGAGATGAAAGATTGAAGATATCACCTTGGAGATACAGTTAATAAAGACAGAAAAGAGTAAAGGAGAAAGGACGCCACCTTGAGGAACACCCGTAGCTAGGTTGCACCACTTAGAGAAAGTTTCATTTGAACGAATACACTGAGAACGAGCACGGAGGTAGGAATCAAACCATTGAATAGTTGAAGGAGACACATTAATAGAATGAAGAATGCTAAGAAGTATATCGAAATCAATAGAATTGAAGGCACTACTAAAATCCAGCAGCACGAGTACCGTTAAGTAATTTTGGTCTATACCGCACCAGATATCATCCGTTACCTTGAGGAGAGCAGTAGTTGTACTGTGGCCAGGCCTAAAACCAGATTGAAAAGTACTTAAGATATTGTTACGGTTAAGAAACTTAGCTAATTGAGTGTGGACAATATGTTCAAGCACTTTTGAAAGAAAAGGTAGACATAATGATTTCTTAAATTTACGCGAACACTACACATTGAATAAAACTAAATTTACGGATTTTATCGCGTTTATTTCACTACTTTTACTTATTTTTAATTCCCGACGTTTCGGGTGCTTTACAGCACCCATGGTCACGGGGGGACTGAGATGTTTGACGTCCCAAAGTCATAGTTAGTCCGGCTACCTTCAGATTTTGAATATTAATATTAATATTTAATTGAGATGAATGTAAAACCCTGTAAACTGTAAGGCACCCGAAACGTCGAGAATTAAAAATAAGTAAAAGTAGTGAAATAAACGCGATAAAATCCGTAAATTTAGTTTTATTCAGAAATGGTAGAATAGAAATAGGCCGATAATGAGTTGTAGATGAAGGATTCGAAACTTTGGGTATAGGGATAATATGAGCTAATTTCCATGACGACGGAATGCAACAAGAAGATAAAGAGAAATTAAAGATATGAGTAAGAATAGGGATGACAAAGGGAAGAATCAATGTAATCATTTTAGAGCAGATGTTATCATTTCCAATAGCAGTAGATGAAATTGCAAGCACGGATCGCTTGGTATCATCTTCAGTAATAGAAGTGAAATTAAACGAGGAATAATCAGGAATTGGGCATTTGGATATTTCGAGTAAAGTTCTGGCTTTAGTGAACGATGAGACTATGACAGGAGGGTTGGCAAAGTTTTCATTGAGATTATCCAAGTCAATTTCACTTCCCACACTAGCAGAATATTTTCCGACACCGACAGATCTCAGAAAACTCCAGGCTTTTGCAGTATCGCAATTTGTGAGGGTATCATGAAAACAGCGCCTTTGAGCATTTCTACACAAACGATTGCAGCAATTTCGTAGTATTTTAAAGCTGATTAAATTGCGTTCAAGGGGATATTGCTTATATCTTCTTTTGGCTCTATCTCTACGCGCCATCAGGTCTTTTATATCAGCTGTGATCCAGGGAGCAGGATTGTATCTTATTTTCACACGTTTTACTGGTGCATGGTGATTATATAGATCTAAGATTACAGAATTGAAGTTAATCACCTTATCCTCAATATTAGAACAATCAATTACCGGTGTCCAGTCGATTAAACTAGCATCACCCCTCAACGTCTCCAAGTTAATGCCCTTATAACTTCTAAGATATCGAAAATGTGGCTTGCACTTAGGGGGACGTACACGGTAAGATAGGTAGATGAGATCGTGATATGAAAATGAAGCGCATATTTGTCCGTAATTAGCAACACTATTTAAAGACGATACGATAATCAGATCTAGAAGAGATGGTATACAATTGGGAAAGTGGTGGGTGGCAGATAGAGGCAAGATTTCTAGGTTTTAAGAAGACACAAGAGATTGCAATTTATAAGTACGTAAATCATTTTTCAATAAACATGTGTTGAAATCCCCCATCAAGATTACATGGTTATATACAGGACAAAAAGTATTAAGAATTATGTCTAATGTATCAAAGTAATTGATATTAAGGTTAGGACAATAGAGACTAAGGACAAAGACTCCAAGGAAAATTTTTGTATGATGAAGTGTGATTTCAAGGAACAAATGTTCCGCAGATTCCAAGTAAGTTGATGGAGATACCCTAATAACCCTGTAAGAAATTTCTGAACGTAAATAGATAGCAACGCCTCCACCACCTTTGCCTACCCTATCATTACGAAAAAGAACGTAACCAGGTAGTGAATATTGAATAGAAGGGAGGGAAGGCTTGAGAAAAGACTCAGAAATTAGAAGAGCATTAAGATGAGCACTGTCAATGGATGCGAGAAGGTCAGAATAATGGCAAGGAATACTTTGAGCGTTTATGTGAGCTATGTTAAGATTCTTATTTTTTTTTTCTAGATTTTCCTTCCAATTTCGTAGCATATTTTTTCCTTCACCTTTTCTTCACTTTCTTCATCAGTTTTTTCTACCTCTTGAAATTCGCCAGTTATTTTATTCAATATCTTTCTAGTTTTAGTTTTTTCCACAGCTTGACATTAAATTTCACTATTTACCACATCATTCATATCTATTTCTTCTACTATACTATCATCAACTTCATTGTCCGATTACAAAATCCTCCGTTTTTTCATTTAACCTGATTCATTTTTCGGCGGCATTCGCATTGTTAATGATCACCACAGCATCTTCATCATTTTTTTGTTCCATACCATTGCCAGTCTGTGAACTAATAAAACTTATTCGTCAATGATGACTAAAATATGTATTTATTAATTGTGGGTAAGTTTAAAATTAATTATACGTACCAAAGCAATTGACTGTTTTCTACACGAGCGCTAGTTGAGGGTGAAACCCGTACAGAGTGGTGATGACAATAACTCCTTTGGTAGTCCATTTACTACCAAAGGAGTTATTGCCATCGCCATCGTTAGTTGTGTTCATAAGTCTGTAATACAAATAATTCATAAAATTATACAAACGTAACACTACAGTACAAAGTTAAATATAAAGGACAAGACACGTATTCTAAAGTATCTACTTACTTGCCCTATATAAAATGAACGGGTTTAATTATCATGTTTTGTTTTAATTCTTGGCGAAATTAAATTAAAACAAAGCAAAGTAATTAAACCCGTTCGTAACTTAATTAATAGTGTAAAAAGTATTTAAAATATAGCTTACTTACCGTTTTAGTTTATCCTCAAACATTTTGCAATAATTTATTACAGGATTCAGAAATTTTGAACTTTAAAACAATTTTTAAAGTAAACTTGATAAAATTCGTGATTAGCTTAAGAGCCAGTCGGCGGCAGACTTACGGTAATACAATAAGCTTCACATTTTCTTCAGTAAATCCCCTATACCTGAGGTACATGAAATGGGGAAAGTTTGACCGGTTATCGATAAAGAAACGCTTAGGTGTTTAAGAGGCCGTGCAGAAAATTTATTCGATAGAGTTTAGGCAAATTCATTGCGGTGCTATCTTTGCATCGTTTAAGCCGGTGCCAGACATAGCTTCAAAGATTTGCACACTTCTTCTTCGCAGAGCTTTGAGAACACATTTGAACACATATTTTTCAAAACTGCCAGACATGCTTTGCAAATACTTTTCTCCACAGTATGCTGGTAGACAACAAACAAGATGGACGACGATTTTATGGACGCGGTGTGCCTATACTATTTATGCGCAACTTATTATTTATTACATTTGCAACAAAATTTAAGGAAACGTCCGAGAAGAAGGCGCGAGTGGATGTGCCAAATGTTTCGTAATAGAACAAGGTATGTAATTTATAGTTATATTTGATGAATATTCGAGCGGCTAACTTGACGCAAGGTTCTTAATGGAATTACTTACCTATATTTACTTGTTTAAGAGCTACCGTGAAAAAAAATGCTTGAAGAGATGGTGCCCCGACCAGTGGGTTACTTCATTAATTTTTGTATAATGTCCTGCCAAGATTTTGAAATACTATTACAAAAAATTTCGCCTTTTATTTCAAAATTAGACACAAAATTCAGAATGGCTATACCTTCGAAAGTGAGATTAGCATTGACGTTAAGATTTTTGGCTACAGGCGATAGTTACATGAGTCTACAATATCTTTTTAAAATTTCACATCAGTCAATTTCTATAATTGTTTACGAAGTTTGCAAAGCTCTGATTCGTGTCCTGGAAGAGGAGATAAAGGTTGGTAAGAATATTTTTTTTATTAGAGATCTTAATTTTATGTAATCGTGTACAATTAAAATGTCATAACTTTAGAAAGAAGAAATAAAATAAAGAAAAAGAAACTGATTTATTGTTATTTAAACAAACAAGAAACTCTTATAGATATGGAAATTAGTATTTAATACGCTGAATCATCATCATCACTACACTTGACATATGCTTCTTCAATTATATTGCGCTTTTTAGGAGGTGATTTAATGGTTTCAGAGAGCACTTTAATTTTCTCGTTAGTTACTTTTGGCCTCATGTTTAGATTTTTTGAAGTACTTGGAATATTCGGATCAAATAAAACGTTGTTGTTTAAAGAATGCGCTGCATAGTTACCAACTGCTGAGTCCGGTGATAGATAACCTACAGGAGGTACTAATTTTAACCGCTATTGTTTGTTTAGAGCATTTTGCTGAGGTAACAGATGTGATTCCATCGATTCATAATTTAAAAGTGATTGCGTATTATACAGATCTCCTTGTGAAGTAACTACAGGTTGATTGTTGACTGCAAACTGGGTAGATGGCAAATATGTTGTTCTAGATCTGTTTCGTTTTTTGACATTCATTATATATTTGAATAGAAGATTATCAATTTCATTCATAAGACCTAGTCTGTCATCTTCATGTAAGTGTTTCAACTTTTCAGATACAAGCTGGCCGTACAAATCACACTTATTCAACTGTTTTTCATTTTCTTTACGATTAGATCTATTTTTAATAATGGTAAAAGCCTTGTCCATCTGTTTCTTCGCAATCAACCAATCTTGCACCCCTCGTTTCCTCTTTGAAATGGAGAAAGGATCTGATTCGCTCTGACTAATTGAATCTCGAGATAAAGGTCTTTCTGTATTTGATGTATAAAAAAGTGGACTTTCAGTATTAGATTCCTCCGAGTAATTTTCAAGTGACTGCGACCTTTCCTCTTTCTGCTCACTTTCCTGCAAACCACCAAAATGGTATTAAATAAATTAATCACAAAAATTATTATCTGTTTCAGCTACCGACATCTCCAAATGATTGGTTAAGAATAGCATCTGGTTATGAAGAGTTATTTCCGCATTGCGTAAGATCATTGGACGGAAAACACGTTGCACTTGAATCACCTATACACTTATTATATATTACTTATAGATTTATTCAATTCCAATTAATATAATCATATGTAGAAATTAAGATGACGATACAAAGGATAATTAGTAGAAGGTACGGGAAGCGTTCGTTCTACGTCGGTGTTCAATGCTGAGTGTCGCCCCCGGAGCTCACGCGGATCTCGCCAGCGGTCAAAAGGACGTTCAACGCATAAGACGTCTCAAATGCGCAGGCGCAGGCACGGTGCGAGGTCTTCCTACGTTTGTAACAAGACGTCGCGAACACCGTGGGTTCGAGTTTTAAAACTACAAAAAAGATTTTAGCATTGTGCTCCTAGCTTTAGTAGACGCTGATTATTGTTTCACTTTCGCTGATATTGGTTGCCAAGGTAGAATGAGTGCTGGCGGAGTGTTAAGAAACAGTATTCTGTGGGATAAGATGAATAATAATACGTTAAATTTACCGCATCCGCATCCATTGCCAGGCAGAAACAGTAATGTACCATATGTGTTTGTTGCTGACAGTGCATTTGCATTAAGCAATTACGTGATGAAGCCGTGCCCAGGCAAGCATAAAGAAGGCAGTAAAAAAAGAATTTTCAACCGAATACTGTCAAGAGCAAGAGTTAAAGTGGAAAATGTTTTTGGTGTAATGACATCAATATTCAGAGTTTTCAGAAAGCTTATGCTACTACAACCCGATAGTGGGTCTATTATGACAATGGCTTGTGTATGTTTACATAATTATTTGAGGAAAAGCAAAACATCACAACGGCATTATTCCCCACCAGAATCATTTGATCGGGCTGTAAACAATGTCATTCTACCCGAAGCTTGGCGAAACGAAGACTCACCCAATTGTCTAATTCCAATCATGTCGCAACCACGCAGAGCAGCAATTAGTGCACAGAATATAAGAGAGGAGTTTGCTGAGTATTTCACTACATAAAGAAGAGTTTTATGCCGTTCACATGAGTGAAATTAATAGCATATACGAATACGTAATAAACATTTGAATCGTTGCATGTACCTACCCACATTTAAAAATGTCTGAGTTATAAATTATAACTTTGCGTACCTATAATGTTCAGGCGTCATTTTTATTGTTAATGTTACGAGCTTGAGGTTCGTGACAATAAAAATTGCCGATAAAATTACCTAAATTAACACTTTAATTTTCTTTATACAAATTAAAACTTAATACACTAATAATTAATCACACTAATTCACTTTATTTCGCTCCGAAGCTTCGCTTGTCTTGTCAAATTCAATACTTCCCCGATCGCACCTGGCAGCGCCTATAAATACACATTAGTACCGAATCATCCAGAACATTCAAGTAAATACGCGCACCAATCGACAAAGCGCTGAAAGTTTGAGAGCCAGCTTCCAGAAGCTTAGTTCTTCGTTTCGACAACAGATGGCGCTGTCGGTTGAAAGAATAGTGATGTCATTTTCTGGAAAGCTCTCCCCTCGTTCCGTTACCCGACACTAGATGGCGCTAGTGCCAGATGTCAACTTAGCCGCGCAACACTGCCCCCTCCTAAGACATGCTCGTCCCGAGCATTATCGGCCCCATAATAACGCGCCAGGCGATCCACATGGGCGATCTTAGGAGTCCCTCTTGCGCCTTTCTGTAACGGCTCCGCAATGTCAAGGGCTGTCCTATCCCGTGGTGCACCGACATTGTACAATTTCGATGCTCCTCTACTCCGTGTCTGAGGTCCCCTCACAGCCGCACAACTTGTACATGTACGACACCAATCCTCGACATCGTCACGATAATGGACCCAGTAAAACTGTTCTCGGACCTTCAGTAGAGTTCGTTTAACTCCCAGATGGACTCTTGAACGACCATTATGGCAAAGCTGTAGAACATTCGGCACTTTAGCCTTGGGGACAACCATTTGCAAACGTCAGCTGTCTCCTCGACCATTGTCCCATTTACGGCACAGGAATCCATCCTGAATCAGCAAGCTGTCCCACTGGGCCCAATAGCCTCTAGTGGTCAAACTCATCGCTGAGACGTCGCTCCACTTAGGTTTGGTAGCACGGGCCTTCATACATTCCAGAATCGGCTTGATGTCCGGATCTTCCTGCTGTGCACGTTGTAAGCTGTCCTTCCACTCGTTGCTGAGGTGGTCTGCCCTGAGCATCCTCACGGATAGCACTTCCTTACTCTCTTGCCTAGTACAGTGTTTGCAATCTTCAGGACAAGGTCTCGTTGACAATGCATCTGCGTTGCCATGAGATTTCCCGCTGCGATGTTCGATCTCAAAGTCATATTCCTGCAGTAGTTCAATCCACCTCGTAACTTGTCCTTCTGGATTTTTAAACTGCAATAACTATTTTAGTGCAGCATGGTCAGTTCGTAAGTGAAATTTCCGCCCCAGAAGATATTTGCTAAAATGCTGCAACGACTTTACCACCGCTAGCAATTCGCGTCTTGTGACACAATAGTTCCTTTCCGGTTTTGACAATGACTTGCTGAAGTACGCTATCACGACCTCTTGGTCACCCTTTTGTTGAGACAACACACCGCCAAGTCCTATATCACTTGCGTCTGTGTCAACTATAAATTCTTTGCTTGCATCACGGTATCCCAAAATAGGTGTTTTGCACAGACGGTCCTTGAGTTCCTGGAATGCGATATTGCAACTTTCATCCCAGCAGAAATATCGCTTCTCCTCGGTTAGCTTATGCAAAGGTTTGGCTATATCTGCAAAGTTCTTCACAAATCGCCGGTAATAGGAGCACAAACCCAAAAATGCTCTAACCTGCGTCTTGTCTTTTGGAACCGGCCAATCCTTGACAGCTGCTATTTTCTCTGGATCCGTGCGGATACCTTCTTCCGATACTACATACCCCAAAAAGTTGTTTGCCGTTTGAATAGTGAACATTTCCTCGGACTCAACTTGAGGTTGGCACTCTGAATCTTCATGAGCACGCGTTCCAGGTTTTGAAGGTGTTCCTCAAACGTACGGCCCACAATGATGATGTCATCCAAGTAGACCAGACAGGCATCGCCAATTAGCCCGGTGAGTACAAGTTCCATCAGCCTTTCAAACGTTGCTGGAGTATTGCACAACCCAAACGGCATTACTTTAAATTGCCACAGACCCTTTCCCGTCGAGAACGCAGTTTTCTCCTTGTCCTTAGAGTCAATTTCAACTTGCCAGTAGTCACTTTTTAGATCCAGCGTGCTAAACTACTTTACTCCTGTAAGCATGTCATTGGCAAGGGATAGCTGTCCTTCTTCGTAACGTCGTTCAGACGGCGGTAGTCAACACAAAACCGCATGCTGCCATCCTTCTTCTTTACCAGTACCACGGGTGAACACCACGGACTAGAGGAAGTTTCAATAACACCATCCTTCACCATTCCGTCAATCATTGTTTCTACTTCCTTTTCACGTGCTACCGGCAATCTTCTTGGCCGCTGACGGGTAGGCAATTCTTCTCCTGTGTTTATTTTGTGTTGAACTAAGCCAGTCTTTCCTATGTCAGCATCGTTTGATGAGAATACATCGGCGTTGAGTAACAACTTCTTTGCCTTGACCATTTCGTTCGGGGAGAGAACGCTGCGACAGTCTTACATAAGTGTGGTCACTCTCGTTTGAGCATCCTTGCTAGGGGTCTCACTCGATAGATATCGGCACCGACGTAACCAATCTACTTCCTCACAAGTAACAACCAGCGTGCCTTTTTCTATTATCTGTTCCCGGTCACAAAGGTTCAGCACACGTACTCCTGAGATGTCAGTGGTCCTGACCAAGGTTCGAGCTACTTTCTATGGAAGGTCATTGCTTACCCTTTCCACAAGTACACAACGGTGAGCTTGCCCAGCGTTTCGAGGAAGACTAACCAGCACAATCATTTCTGATCTCGGCGGAAGAAAAATCTTCTTAATGCTGTACACGTTCCCTGGTAACGCACCTTCCATAAAAGTTCCTCCTGTCCACATTTCAAAACACTCTGCTTAACGTCGATCTCACAACAATTATTCCTCATAAAGTCTAGGCCAAGGATGCAGTCGTCCACTATATCAGCCACGATGGCATTATGCAGGTAGATCACGTTGCCTAGTTTGAACTCCATCTCCTTCTCTCCACGGACGGGTATACGCTGACCGGTGACTGTTACCAAATTAATGCGTTCTCGGTTGTATGCGGAGTCCCCAAGGAACTGACTTATAAGTTGGGAACTAACAACCGTACGAGAGGCTCCAGTGTCTATGGTCAGTTTACACGGCATTCCATTGACCTCGCCCTTGATGATTAGACTGTTCCCATCATGGGTTTGTGAGATCGAGATCCTTGGGGCTCTTTTAACATCAGCCAGCACCCGCCCCGCAGTTCTGGCTTTTACTCGTGTCCCTGCTGCTGCTGGGCGGTGCTGTTGGCCGCACTACCCTCCTGAGGTCGTTCACCTTCCCTTTCTAGGGTTCGCTTAGGGCAGCTGGATCGAAGATGGCCCTTTTCCCCACAGCCATAGCACCTAGGGCTGTATCCTTTGTTGCGGTCGCGTACTGTAGCTGCTGCAACCTCCCTGATGCGATGGGAACGATGATCCTGCCGCACGGCTTCCACCTCCAGTGCATGGGCCAAGGCGTCTTTAAGCGTCTCGTGGTGCCCGAGCCTCACAGCAGCTGGTGGACCAGGTTCCCTTCAATGAGCGCAGGTACAGACCGGTATGCTTTTCGCACCAGCTTCTTCACCTCTAGAGCCCACTGCTGCAGGTTTTCGTTGATGCGCTGCACGCGATCATTAAGCTGCGCACGAAGGACGTGTTCCAGGTGAGCGTCGCCATATCGCCTCCAATGCCCCAAGGAGTTGCTCATAAGTCACTTCCTCACCGAGAGCTTCCAGAACTGTTAAGGCCTGGTCACGCAGGCCTAGTGTGAGAGCAGTCATGGCCTGACTTTTATTCCAGCCGTTCGCCTTCATAACAGCCTCGAACTGGATTTTGTAGGCCGACCAGGAAGAAGTCCCGTCGAACGGTGGCACTTTGAACCCACGTAGCGAAGGTGTAGTAGCTACTACGGGAGCTGTAGTTCCATCCCCCAGTTTGAGTTCGTCCAGTGATATCTTCATGTCAGCCATCACGTTGCCAACCTGATTGCTCACTTGGTTGATTCGGGTTTCAGCTTTCTCGATTCGGGTTTCAGCTTTCGCGATTTGGGTTTCAGCTTCTGACAGGCGGTTGTCATGCTGAGCAACCCTATCCTTCACCTCCTTGATCTCCTTCCCGAATGTAACGTGAAGATCCTTCATGAGGAGCATCTGCTCTTCCAACCGACGGGCCTGTTCCTCCTGTCCATCCCGCAGCTGCTCTTCCAAACGACGGACCTGTTCCTCTTGTCCGCCCCGCAGCTGCTCTTCCAATCGACGGACCTGTTCCTCTTGTCCGCTCTGCAGCTGCTCTTTCAACTGACGGACCTGTTCCTCCTGTCGGCGAGCCTGCTCCTGCAGCATCACCATCAGAGCACCTAAGTCAGGTGCTGCAGATGTAGGAGCTACTGACGGACCTGCAGCCGGCGGCTGGCCCTCCGGCGTTTAATATAAATATGATAATACACCAAAACAAGTTTTTTATTTACTTACCCTAATCTCAGTACATACTGTCGGGCGATAATCATATACAGCACCCATGTAACTATGAATGGCATCAAATGCAAACCACGATGGTTTGTAAATTTCTTCAGATCCTGCTCCTGTTTTAGTGGAATCCTTTATTTTCTTTAAACAGTCCCTATATTGCGTCAAGAAACTATTTCTTTTCTTTTTCAACTCTTCAATAAAACAAGGCACGGAAAAACTATTTTTCAGTCTGATCCATGCGTCATTCACAAAATTTCTATTTTTGTAATTTTTGTTTTTTGGGTTCCATATACATGGTTCCCCTTGCAGCAACTCAACAAATTCAAGCACATACTCGTTGCTCCAGTCCATTTCGAAAAATCGAGAAAGTGTTCATGCGCATACACACAACACTACCGTTCTGCTCAACACTGCACACAAAACTGGACTTTACGCGAGTGTGGCAGGGTACGCAAACATTTGAACACAGTCGACTTTGAACGCATTAATGTGCGCTAAAAAACCGACACCGCTTGGCAAAGTGCATACATTTGCGCAAATATTTGCACAAATATACAAAGTACCGTGCCACATTATAGTTACAAACACTTGCGCAAATATTTGAAGATAGGTGTAGCGCCTGCATTACGCACACACGGCTAAAGACCGAGCGCAGTGCTCGCTTAAACAATTTTGATCCTTTAGTTGATAATTATTTTAGGATACATAGTTAGTACGGTTTAGAAATAAAAGTCTGGGATGTTTTTGTATAATAGTTTAATATTTATTACAATCAACATAAAATGAAAATAAAAAATAAATGTGTTAGACAAATATTATTCGATTCAAACTTAATGGCGGTTCGGAAGTTAGCTGCAAGTGCAGGTGCGCGCAGGTACAGTCAAGTTGACAAAAATTTAGGCTCAATTTAATTGTTTTAATAACTGAAAGTTTTGTGTTTTAAGTTCTGTACATTTAGTACATAAATGTCAGTTAGCAAGTATGAGGAAAGTTCAAGGAAGAAAAATACAGATGAATTAAGAACCTCATCCTTTTTTGAAGTCGGTTAAAAATAAAACAGATTTTATAAACAATATATAAAGTTTTTATTTTCATTTTAAGGGCTGTTAAGTTAAGGGCTGTATCCCTTCCATAAAAACGTCGTCGCTGACATGGATTATAAATTCGTCCGTCAATCTATCAACGACAACGTCATTTTTTTTGTACTCTTCCTCTATCTTGATCACTTTTCGGCACAATGCCCCCCATTCATTTTCCCCCATTTCGTAAACTTTTTGCTGGACCAATTCCATGACTGAATTTACGTTCCAGTTAACGTTTTTTTTTTGCGACGTATTGTTTTATTGCTGCCCATGCCATCTCGATGAGGTTTAAATCGGGGTGGTAAGGGGGTAAAACTAAGTGGTTATTCTCTTTCAATATTTTATCGATGTTAAATTTTTTGAAGCGTTCTTTATTCTTCGCAATTAACTTGTATAGTTATGGCTTCAGCATTGTTTCCTCAAATTCAATATTTTTTTCACGAAGCCATGATTGCATGTCTGCTTTTCTTGAGTTTGAGGTAGGTGCAGGATCTTCTTGTTTGTTGTGATAAGAAGCATTATCTACAACAACGACTGAATTTGCTGGCAAATTTGGAATGAGTTGATTCTTGATTCATTTTTCATAATTATTTTCATAATTCATGTTGTCATGATAGTCGCCGATTTTTGTACCCGCCTTAAACATTAAAAGTGCGTTGGGTACAAAACCGGCTTCAGAACCCGCGTGCACTATTACAACTCTTTGACCCTTCGAAACTTTCTTTTTAACTCCCATTTGTGACCCATCTCCCAAGCCTTTGACATGCTGTGGGAAGAATCGACATAAGACTCGTCGGTATATATAATGGGTCTGCCTTCCGAGCGATATTTTGTAATACTATGCAGATATTCAATGCGCTATAAACGAATATTAGGCTGCTCTATTAATACTTTTCTCTCATTTTGAGTGTTCTTCCATTGAAACCCTAATTGTTTCAATATTCGGCCTAAGCTGGTTACAGAACCGTTGAAATTTATGTCGTCTTTTAATTTTCTTTGTAATTGTTTAAGTGTTGGCAACTCTTTTTCAGTCACGCGAAAGTTGTGCACGCACCTTTTGATGACACCTTGGTCGAAGCTGTCAATATTCGTCACTCTTTTGACTCCATTCCTTTTTTTGCAAGGAGTACGAAAGACGGCTACCATCTCCGACTCATTTGCTGTTGCAGCTATTCTTTGTACAGTCCTTAGTGAGACGCCTGTAGCTGCTGCGGCTCGGCTTTGAACGAGCTTCAGAGGAATTTGGACACCGTCTTCACTCTCCTTTTTCATAAATTGCACGACATTATACACCATTTTTCTGGCTTGCCTTCGTAAAACGTTGTATCGTCCGCGAGGCATATTTAAACAAAATAATAAAAGTACTTTCCCACAACCAACAACAGTCTAAAACTTAATGTGTGTAACACACAGATGAAAATAAAACAGTCAATAACAATAAAAACTTAACGGAACAAAAACAAACAAAAAAAACGTAACAAAACAATTAGCAAACAGTAACAAATTATGGGCTCAACTGTACGTAAGCAGGAGTGTACGTATCAAACACTAAAAGCAAATGCGTCGCGTGAGTGCGTATAAGACAGAGGGCGCGCGGTAGCGCGCGCGGGGATGTGCCCCGCCACCACGTCCCTCTACATCCCGCTGATACCCAAAAATTGTGTTCTGCGCATCGGAATCTACGATGTTCCGAGCCGCCATTAAGTTTGAACAAATGTGTACACTATGCATATATATTTAAGTAATTCAATGTTTTCGTTCTGCGATGTCATTAATGTCTGCTAGAGAGTACAGACAAATTTAACATGTCTTATTGGTATATGCCCGAAAATCAAACATCGTGATTTCATTAAAACAAAGTTTTTTTTTTTTGTAAATGCAAAACATTTAAATTTAAATATTAGGCCGTATATGAGAAACGGAATGTTAAAGGGATAAATAAAATACAGAGCACGAGTGCGTGACGTACACGTCAATCAAAGTATTTATACTTTGATTTTAAAATTGATAATACTCGTTTCTTTTATAATATTTATTCAATGTTTTGAATTTATTTATATCCATGAGACAAAGTACACACTTTGGCAAAAATAAGCCGAACATGCTAAAGAATATTTGTATATGTGCGGTATTTTTGCATTATTTCATGCGGACATAATGAAATGCAACAGTAGACAAAATCGTATTTTACGAATGGTATCTGAAATGGGTACTAATCATTAAAAAAAAATATCAAAAAATAAAATATCAATGAACATAGCAGATGTACTGAGGCAGCGGCCGGGTCTAACTATTAGGTACTAAGAACCACCCATGTGATCACATACGAAAAAAATATCATCATAATTGGTATAGCCGTTTAGGATAACAAGAATTACGAACACGAACACCTGAACTTTTTATATAAAGACTAGGCATGCTACATATTATTAGTCTTAATAAACAAACTATCCAAAAAAAAAAAATACTTACTCTGATGAAAATTTCGTGGTCGGCGTACAATTTCTGGAAATGTTTACGTAAAACACGGGATGCAAAGTGATACGTCCTTGCTCTGGGAAGGCCCGGTCGTCACGGATCGGATCGATTTTGCGCGGTCGATAATAAAGTTCACTTTGCCATTTAGTAATAAACGAAATTATTATTTATATATGAAATAAAATTTAGTTTCCAATAAAGGGTTATCTTAAGATTAATGTGTAATTTTAAATTAATTAAAAGTGTGTCTTCTTAATAGAAAAAAATACTTATTTCGAACGAAGTTTTCAGGAAATTACGTTATTTCAACAATTTTTTCTGCTATATTTGGATAGAAATTTAAAAAAATGATGTAGCTACAAACAAGTAGACCGTATACTTATGTTATTTATATTTTTTAATGTTTGAAATATTTTGTAGTTTCGTTGTAAAACGAAGACAAACATCACTTGATCGTTACTTTTCGGAAAAAGGGTTGTGAATACTGGTGATTTGTCATTATTAAATAGATAATATGATACATCCCTTCAAGCCAGATATAAGATTAAAAAGTAGAATATTATAATAAAAATAAAAAAAGTTAAAATTCGTTTTCCTGTTAACACAAACAGTGATCAGATTTGGCCGAAATGAGTTGATTTCGCGCACGGGGCCTTAAGGTGTAAAAAAATGACCAAAAAAACGTGATAGCAATGAGTGTGCCGCTTTGACATATTGAAATATTCAATAAAAGTTGCCGAAAAATAACATTGGCACACACCTATGATGGTTTCAAGTCTCAAGGTTATGGCAGACAGCCTGAAAAATAAATTTATTTTATTAATAATTTACGTTATTTCAAAGTAGTTACGTTGTACCAGTTCTGGCTCACTGAGTCAGAAGTGGTACAAGTACGACGTTCGGCGACTCAGGATCCTAAAAAAAAAAGGTTGTGGCATGCTCTGATCACGAATCTGCGGCCCATTTTTGCGTAGGATGCACGGTTCTGGAGATGTGCAGATCAATTAACTCTTATCTAATTGATATCGCTATCTATAGGCCGTAACTTTATTTATATATATATATATATATATATATATATATATATATATATATATATATATATATATATATCTTTGTCTCAATTTAATGGAGCAATAATGTAGAATTGCTTACTTAATTAGCAATTGGTTTCAAATTTATTTCAATTCCAAACGATCTCAATTTTATTCTTGAAGCATTTTAAATACATATTATGATATAAGAAGTTTAGTGCAGATTTACATTATTTAATTTTTTAAATTTAGTTCTTATCTTTGTTTCAGGCTGTTCATTAATTTCTATATTTAAGTTGAATAAATGTACTGATATTTATTATTGACATAACTATTATTGTATTTGTGTGCTGTTTTTTAATAAATCCTGTAAATATAATGTTAGTTTTATTCATTTTGATTTTAATTATTAATATCTGTGATGGAAACAAGTATATATACGTAGGTGCTATATATACGGCATAATATGTATATATATAAGCTTATATTTATAGATATTACAATAAAGTTGCTAACTATGGATACGAGAGGCGCTAGTTATGCATTGCCATTATATATGTCGAAGATTGGTCTCTATTTCAGTTTATACAAAAGTAATTTGTGGTACTGACGAACACCGCGTTCTTATCGCCCGCGCACCTCTGGAAGGGTACGGGGAGCGAGTATAGAGCGCGGCTAGACGGCACGGGGAGCTATGACACGTATGTATCAAGGGATCAAGTGAAGGATGTAATCTCACAGGTCAAGCCGACAGCAC